CAGGCTGAAGCTAGAAGTAGTGTTGTCTGGATTTATAGTGGATTACATTGTTTTCTCTAGGAAAGAGTGAGTGAGAGGGTTCAGCCCAGCACAGGACTGACAGTCCATGCACAGCGTCATGCAGTGTAGAGTTTCTTTGGTTCTGCCAATAGGTATTGCAGTGTAAAATGTCTGGAGGCTAGCTGGGTCTACTTCTCTAGAGACAGGACCAAAGTACACAGTATACTGGCTTTCATTTTGCTGGTTTTGGACAGTCAGGGCTGCTTTCCATTTCTTACAATGTTCCAATATAACCAAGTCACATGTGCTCAGTAATGGAGGCTTCTGAGACCTGGGGCTTCTGTAAAGAGGAAAAGAGCAGAGTAGTATTTATACAGTATAATATTTTGATTCGCTAATGGGCTGTGAGGTGGGTGTTATCATGAACTACTGTGCAGCAAGAAAGGTTCCTAAAACACGTATCAGCTTACTCCATCTCCAAATCATTGCAGATAACACAGTGTTTAGTTTCTAATTAGACTTGTGCTAATTCTCGTGAGCACTGCAAGTGATTGACGTGCTGCATTTCAGTGGCAAGTAGCAAAGCAGCTGAGTGGAGCTCAGTGATGAAGCCAGCATGCAGCTGCTGAGGAAAGCACACTGCTCCCAGAGACTGATTTGCAGGATGAACACACGCTGATTTTTGTGGCCTTGCTCCAAGGGGAAGGGGGAAATAAAGGCACATAGTCTTCAATTAGACTAATGATATTCTAGTCCTAAAAGGATTAGGAAAGAAATGTCTAACTGAAAATAAAAGTTCAATGGGTAATAGTTTACAAATCATGTATTTATTTTGCATAGGTTTTTTGCACTGTTTCTTAGGAGAGGATGGACATTATTCTTTTTCCATGCTTCAATTCCCTATATTTAAAATATGAATGGTTCCTCCTAAGTAGTGGTTTCTGTATGTGTAAGTAATAAGTGTAAACTTCAAGGCAGAGCCTTGTGAACTGTTTCTTGATAGAACATGCCAGAGCAGCATAGACATTTTATGTAATTAAAATTATTTCAGAATCGGTTTTGCCAGCACTTTCATTTGTGGCCAGCTCAAGTCAATTTGTTTGGTAGTGCAGTTCCACCGTAGAAATAAAAATAGCAATATGGATTTGATATAGGCAGTCTTATTGAGCTAGACTGGGTTACTGTAAGGAACATCTCCTAGCTTAAACCCTGTAATCAGGTCCAAATCCCTTCAGTCAGATTCTTAATGTAAAGTTTGGCTTTTTCAAATCATCATCATCATCATTGCGTTCAGCACAAACAAAGGCTGTGCCTGTGACTCTTGGATGTCATTCATGTAGCATTTGATTTTTTTCACAGCCTTTAAAGCCCCTGTAAGGTCAAGCAGAGCTATTCCTCTGCTTTAGGGGCTTTTTGGGCCCCCCATACATGTGTTAAAGGAGAGGGGCTGGCTAAGGAGTGGCATTTTGTCAGGATGATCAAGCTGTGGCTTGCTGCAAATCCCATCTGGCCTCTCCACATGCAGCATTAGAGGCCCTTCCTGGAACAAGCTCCTCGGGGATTTACCTGCATAAGGTTGCCGGTACGGGGTCACTGGAAAGGCAGATGGGACAAATGATGACAGACTTGGACCAGTTGCATTTGGCAGAGAACAGGCCTATGGAGTAGGATTGTGACTTTATGAGTGAGAATGTATTTTTAAGTGGTATTCCTTGTGGATCTCATCCCCCAGTCAAATAGCAAATATTGTAGTAAAAATAGTAGTGGTACCATGCAAGGCTTGGATTTTCAGAATTGCCAAATGGGCACTGCAGGCTGTAAAGAGTGTGTGTGTGCAAATCATGGAACAGCTAAAGGTATTTGCTCCTGTCTGTGTGCTTCAGCCTACCAGGGATACTTCTTTTCAGGCTGTGTAAAGAAAGGTCAGATTTTGCTTTGTCAGTTGACATTGGGGGGAATTAAATTAGACTTGAAAGCCACAATAGTATCCCAGGTAATAAAACTTAATCTTGAAGCAAGAATGACACTTTTGTCTTCTGCTTGAGAAAAGAAGGTGTAGGGCAACCCAGATTCCTCATACTGTTTTTTCTCTCTCAGAAAATGCAGAAAGAAGGCTCTGGACTTTGCAAGAGCTTTAGGAAACTTGGGGGGGGAAATCATGTGGCATAAACTTTCACTTGACCCAATTATGGGCAACATGTTTTAAGTATATGAACTGGTAAAGTGCTCATGCTTTTTAATACTGAGTAAAAACTTTCTGCTATTTGCTGTGAAGATGTAACTTGTCCTGGACTTCACTGGCAGTGCAACCAGGCTTACTACAGATCTGCGTTGCAGATTAGGTCGTTTACTCATATTTCAGTTATGTTTTCTCCAGTTTCTCATCCTCCTGTTAAAGTAGTACAGCTTCCTAGAGGTCCATAGGCATTGAAAAGGCTTGAAGGACTAAAAAGAGAAATGTTGGGTCCTTTTTCTTAGTCAAACAGTTTTTTACCTACCAAGTACAGTATTTTATGCTGTCCAAGGAAATAGATATAATTTGCTATACTTTAAAATAACACAAAAGCCATTCCGGCTCTCCTTGAAGCCAGCGAGAACGTTCCACTTGCTTTCAGTGGGAATTTATAAGCAGTTTCTGAAATGATGCAGTTTCTGTCAGAGCAGGAGAAAGCTGAGAGTTCATAGTACCATGCAAATGTAAAATGAAAGATCTTAGTGCCATATCATTTACACATTTCAGAGAGAAACTGTCTTGGTTTTGGAGGAAGAGTCCCATAAACTTGTTACTCAGGCACTGACACATCGAGAAAAATCCAGAGAAAGAGTCCAGAGAAAGAGGTGTGCAACTGCCCTCCAGCTTGGCAGTGTTTTGCTTGAGTGTGTGTTAGAGCATGGGGAAGGAGTGATAACCTTCTTGTCCTGGGTATTTGCTTCAGTCTGCAAGGTGAAGTTTCAGCTGCTGTTTGAATGTGTAATAATCACCAGTAAGTCATAAAGTCTAAAATACTTCCTTGTGAAAAGCAGAGCTTGAAATGGAAGAACTCCAAGGAGGACATTTCTTTTTTTAAAGAGAGTTTCCCCCTGGGCTTTCCCTGCCACAAGCCAGCAGAAGTTTGGCTGCCCTGTTCCCTGTGCACCTACTGCTCACTGAGCCTGAGCAGCCCTGAAAAGGGGAACCCAGCACTGGGCCATGTGTGAAGGGAAATGCATGGGTAAATATGCCTTCCAGACACCTGCATCAGCAGCAGGGCAGCAAAAAGAAATGTCTCATGTTCCCTCCACGTGAGATCAGCCTTAAAATTCTCCAGAACAATGAGGCGCCTCTGCAGCTGTAGAGAGCCTGGGGCCTTGTCAGGCATTCTTGTACTTCTCAGCTTATTCTTGTTGCACCTTGATAGAGGTAAGATTAATTATTAGATCCTCAGCTTTAGACTTCTGCAGATACTCAGTGCCCAGAGTTTACTTTATCTGTAATTTTAAACTCTAGCCTTACAGTTTACTATAGTGAAACTATATACTTGCAGCTACTGGCAGAATTTGCCTACCAGGAAAGGACATGGTTTTGAACTCTAAGGGATGTTACCGTGTGTAAATCATTTCATCTCATCCAAATAGTGGCCATTCTGTCCTTTTTCACAATATAACTTTCCTTAATATTGGAAAACAATGAGTAACTTTGGGTGATCAGGTTCAGCAATCTTCAGAGGGACCTAAAATCTTTAGAAATTGCTGTTAGGGAAGATTTTATCTTCTAAAACCACATTGTCCCAAGTTTTGAAAATCTCAGGCTTGCATCAATATTCATAAGAGTCCCAAGCTCAGCGATATTTAATGAAAGAATACCTTTATGGCAAGTACTTTACATGCACAGTAGATGCATTTTAGAACCTGTTTGAAATGGATGTGTAGAGCCTTATGTTCACAGAAAGGCAAAATCTTAGGAGAAAGAAGCATTTGAAACTGGAAACAAGCATGTGGGTCTTTTGCTACTGATCTGGATTTTAATTAGACCTCTGTGCTGCTGTCTGACCTGTGATGAGGTGAAACATCAATCTGCCATGGACAGAATGGTGAGGAGAGGCAGAGACCTGGAGAATCAGGGGTTAGAGGAGACTTGGACTCGTGCCTCATATGGCCCCTGGCCTGTCTGATTGGTGGGGCTGCCTGGAGTTTTGAAAGATGAGCAGAATCAAGGAAAATACCAAAGAAGGTGAAATGTAGTATACTCTGGGCATTCTGTAACATTTCTGTTTTCACCCAGCTCTATGTCAAGTTGCAGTATATATGTACTTACGTTGATTTATCTTCATGTTAATGTCAGGTAATCTTCCACAAAGGTAGAACACACATTATCTTAACAGCCTTGAAAGGAAACAATCCTTTGGTGTTTATTCTGATGAATTTAGAGGAATTTCACACGGCATTTTCCCAAATTCTCTGCTTGTATGAACTGGTGCGGCATTACTTTACTCAATGCAAGCTTATGCCAGGTTTTGTAGCAGGTGATATGGCCTTGATGAGAAATCATTTGTCCCTGGCTCCTGAGTAACCAAGAGATGGAAAGTTTTCCTTAGGTTTGGATTGTAGCTTTCCTATAATGAGCACACTCCAGGTGAGTTGGCCTGAGCCAGTGACATGTCTATGTATGTACCCCAGCCAAAACACGTTTCTGGTTCAAGTAAAGAAGAGAAGCAGGAGAAGGGTTGGCAAAGTAGCCACTAAATCCAGCAAAGCTTGAAGCAGTGCCAGTAGTGTTGAGAGCGGGTTCAAAAACAATTGCTAAAGGAACTGTGCAAATATTTTGCATCCTTTCCTATGAAACGACGTGGTTTGTTTGCTGTTGCTTGTTTATCTGTTCTGCAGAGTATGTCACATTTATCAGTCAAATAGACTGAAGGGGGTAACAGTACTTTAATGATGATGTTTTGACTTTTATTGTGTTTATTCTGTGTTTTCTGACTAAATTCAAACTCAGATGGTTTTTTCTTCTGCTGTTCCAGCATGTCTGTCTCAGGCTGCCCCTAAAAAGAAGCAGCAATAATCTGGTGAAATGAACTCAGAGCACACAAGGAGGAGCCACTGGAGATTAATCTGCAAGGTATTCAGGTATTTGCACTTTCATATCCTACACCAGTAATTGGTGCACACACATGGTGTGCTCTGCAGTTCTTGTTAACTCACACAAAATGGGTGAGAAAATTACATAAATAAACAAAAAGTCACGTGAAAGATCAAAGTTGTTTAGTCAGAATGCCCCCATGCAGCTTGAAGATGGAGCCAGGTTTGAAAAGGTAGAGTTGCAGCTCCAAGTTCAACACAGGTTGATTCTGCTGCCCGTCACATCTGTTAGCCAGGTCAGATTTTACCATCTGTTACTGCCCAGAGCACTGATGGCCATCTGAGAAGTGGTGGAGAAAGAGGATCCTTCTCTGGCATCCCCTGGAGCAGAGTGAACAGCCCCTCCTCTGATGGACTAAGGCATTATGACACTCCCAGTGACCTCAGGAATTAGGTCCTGGACTAGACCTGCAGTAAGGAAGAAATTCATTTTGGTTTCTGGAGATGCCAGAGGTCCTGTGTCACTTGCCAGGCCTCAAGGATTTTTGTGAGCTTTAAGCGGTGTGTATGTCCTGTATACAGCTGAAAGAAAAAAAGAGGCTTTTGCAGTTCTTCTCAGTGCAGAAATGAGACTTCCTAGTTGGAAAGCAAGAACAATCTAGAGAAATGTAATTTTCCAGATAATAGGGAAATAGATTTTTGTTTTATTAATACATTTAGGAGAAAGCAACACAGCTCTGTTGAGTCTATGTTCCATGTCTCTGAGGCAGGGAGAGCACTTGAGTGATTCCTTTTCCATGCTCCATGTGAGCAGGTGATGACAGACATGCTATGGATGTGCAAAGTGACAACTTAATGGCAGCAAGTAATTACATACATGTTTGTATGGTGATGTAAGTGCAGAGGTTGGCTGTACACAGTTTCGTAGCTGATTAATTGGGGGAAGCAAATGAGCTGCTAATGGGAGTAAAGGTAAGAGCTGTGCTTGCAGAGCACACAAATAGCAAGGTGCATTCAGAGAAAACATTTTATTTGTACAGTCATTGCAGTCTTACGTTATCTCATTGCAATGATTAAGCTATTATAATTGACTATTGTTCATAATTAAGTATCTTAAACCCACAAAAGCAGAGGTACCTCCTAAGGGTATATATTTAATGGTTATATCACTGATATGTGAAAAATCACTCTTGTTGGATGTTATATCACATGAGACTGTCTGAAAAGCAGATGCAAGTAAACAGCACAGTCACCGTGGGTATTATTTTAATTCCTGAACTACACAGTCTATCAGCTTCCAGATATTTATTCACATTGTTATTTTTATGTGTGCATTCCTGTGGTTTTGGCAGTGTGTTCATAGATGCTGTTGATGTACTCTTTCAGATTTTGCTACCAAACTGCTTCTGGGACTTCATGCAGTTTGCCTCATCTGAGAGAACCTTAGACAAGTTATATGGAAAGTTGATAGTAAATCCCAGAGCACCAGGTTTTGCTGCACATAATGCAGATGTAACACGTGGGACCAGTGAATGATGGTATAGTATTTAGTATTATTAGTACTTTTCCTTACTTTTTCTTTCAGTATTTTGTCCTTCTTTCCCTTTTTTCTCTTTTTTTTTCAACTTTTTTTTTTTTTCAGCATTGGATTTCCAGTGCAAGTAGTTCCTTGTCATGGCATCCCAAAAAAGTAAAGTCAATGGTGGAGATTCTTGGTTTTCTACCAAGTGTTTTAGAACCTTGAGCCAGCTCATTAGCCTTCAGAAACGTCCTCAGTCTCACTTTAGAACTACAGTTTTCTCTGTAAGAACAGGAAACTGCTGTCAGAATCTCCTAATGGAAACTTAGGAAAGGTTTCTATTCAACTTTGAAGAGTGATACTGTTTTCTTGTAAGAAGATTAATTTAAATATCATCTAAATAATTTCTACTTTTAACCCTTTTAAAAATAATTGCACTTGACATTAAAAAATGTTTTACCACTCAGTTATGCAGTTCCTTCAAAAGAGTTATCATTTAAAGGCAGGAAAAACAAGACTTAAACCAATTTTATTGACAATAGGTGGGAAGAATAGTACCTGAGAACATTCTGTAAGCTGAAATTATGGACTTGTTCTGTACCAAAGGTGGTGGTCAAATCAAAATCCGATATTTTAGGTCAGAATTACTGACCTTCCTAATGTTCTGAAAACTCATCATTATGGGGAAAATAGACTTTGAATTTCAGACTGTGATCGTTCCTCAAAATAAGAAAACTCTAAAAGTCAGATTTTCCTCTTAGAAATTTCAGACTGCATATGATTTGGGTAACTATGAGTAACAAGCTATTTTAGAAAGGAATTCTTTCCTTCTTTAGGGAAAAATGTATTTAACGCTTTTTGTATTAAGTTTTGCAAATATTTCATGTTTCTAACACTACCATGATACATTATTTTCTAAACAAATTACAGGTATAACAAAGCTACTTATGAGTGTTGGTTTGTTTGAGAGATACAGCTTTTAATTTGGTTCTGTTTTCACAGAAGGAGTGCTTCCATTTCCCAAATTTTGTGTAATTTTGAGACCTGAGAAATTTACAATCAGTATCACAGCCAGCATTTCTAGAAGATGGTAGCACTTCAAAAGGAACTTTTCCTAATTATAAAACTTTGCAAAACTCTTAAAACTCTGGTTCTTGTCATTCCAAAACACCCTGCACTGAGCACAGGAAGAATTAGTATCAAATAACTAATAGAGAATGTGATGTTTGCTGGGTCTGCTAACCAAGGCAATGGTTCCAGACAGTGCAAGGTGAGTTGGTTCTGTATTTTCAGCTTTGGCTCTGCACTGAGTGGTGACCATGATGTCAGGGTGCTGTTTAGTTGGTGGGGAAGTTTGGATGTCTTTGTTTCAAAACTATGGCTTTGCACCTACTACACAGCCCAGACATGGGCAGTTCCTGATGCAAAATGAAGACTAGGGAGGAGTGGTTAGTTAAATGTTAGCTGTAAAACCTAAATGTAATGATGACACCGAGGAGGGAAAAAAAATTAAAGACAGCCTTAATTTTTAAAGTGCCTGAAGTTGTGGTCTGTTAAGTTTGGTTTCCTTGATAATGTTCAAAAATATGAATTGTTTGTTTGGGGCTTTTTTTTCCTTTTTTTTTTTTTTTTTCTGAAGGCATTCATTGGGCCTAAGTAGCATTTATTGAACAGTAATGTGGGGAGGGAAGAGAGTTTCAGATATGAATTAAGTCTGAGTTATAGTGACTCATAACTGACAACAAAACACCCAAGAAGAGACGTGAGACAGGATGAGATTAAATGAGACGAGCTATGAAAGAAGGGACAGATTTATGACTTATTGGCCTACAGATAGGATGAGAAGATATGAGTGGAGAATGAGCTCATCAGGCAGAAGTCTGCTAGGGGGAAAAGGAGGGGGTTCACAGGACACATCCCAATAGCCTCCTGTGCATAGTGGGAGGATTGATTTAAGCCACGGGAAAATCAGTGTTAAAAATGATCCAAAAATGTGTTAGATCCCAAACCTCAGAGGGGCTGGATTTTTCTCTCCCTACACTTAGAAAAACAAAGAAACAACAGCTAGGATGATCCTGAGCCTGCAACAGTACACGCAGACCACACACTCCAAGGGTAGTCTCACCTGGTTAAATCATATCAGCCTGTTTTCAGTGTTGGTAATGCAGGGCTCTTTTCAGCAGTTTAAGAAAACTGCTGTATTGCTTTGAATAAAGACAGGAGGCAAAATTTTCGCCTTCAATCTAAACAATTCAGCAGTTTTCTTAAAACATCAAGATTTGCTTTTCATCCCTGAAACTGAAAGCATGTTTCTAAGTAACTACATCCTTTGTACTACACAACCAAGGCACTGTGTATGGATTGTAATTGGTAGAATTGATTGCCAAGTGTGTTTGGGTGAAATTTCAGTTGGCAAAAGTATAATACATTACAAGATTCAGTCTCTTAAATTTCTCACCTAAAAGATTTAAAAAAAGACCTTGGCTGTTCACAAAGGCCCCTACAAATCTATGAAGTTGCTGTCTTACTGTAGCCATGGCCCCTGCCCCTTTTCTAATTTTATTCTTGTATCCTCTGCAGAGAGATGAGGAGAATCTGGAGAAATGCACTGAATTCTGCATTTTGGCTGAATCTGTAGAATCAGTTGTCAGCCTCTTGAAAAAACCTTTTCTGGTGGAATTTCATCTTACATCCGATTCTGATAGGAGTGGGGAAGATGCAGATGTGTGTTTCTCACAGATTCAATAATTTCTGCTCCATGATTTAGCTAAGAATACTAAGGACTCATCTGTGCAGGTGGACAGGTTGAATTAAAAGTTATTAAACTTGCTAATGGATTGGTAGAACTTGAGGTGATCAGTAGAGCAGTTTTGATTTGGCTGGATGTATGAAATTTAATTTGGAATATAAAAGTGAACTGCATTAAAAATTCATAAAACCTCTATTATTCTTTAACTATAGCTGGAGCTATTTAGTTTTGGGTGGAACTTTAAAAAAGGGCTAGCTTTTTCCTTAGAACGGTAAAGTTTAAAAATTGCGAAACTTTTTTGTTCAATTTGAGCCAGTGGGCTGAAACAGGATTTGGTTAAGCCTCAGTATGTAACACGGTGCATTTATTTAATTATTGCTGATCATTCACTCCACAGCAGTGTGCATGGAGTGAGAGTTGCCTTCAGGAAGGGCTGGAACATCTGAGCTTAGTGCTGGGACTCATCCTGCAGCAGGAGGATTGTCCAGCTGCTCAGACTGGCACCTGTCCTCAGCCCTGTCCAAACCCAAATGCCTAAGGAAGTGTGTAAGGACAAGGAAATTGTAGATCATATTTCAGCTAAGTGATCTCTTGGTGCTCCCCCACCCCAGAGAAACATGCAGCCAGGCATAGTTTATTTCTCATTAGCAACTGAAGTGGATTTCTGCTCTGTAAACTTGCCCGACCTCCCTGTGAGCCTTGCAGCCTCCCTCCAAAGGAGTCCTACAGCATAACACACCTGTTGTGAAGAGCCACTTCGTTTTTGTTTGTTTTGAAAATACCTCACGGTAGTTGGAAATGAAAGGATGCCTTATAGAATCTGACAGTGAAACTAGAAAAGGTTTTTTTAAGATTGTATTTTTGAAAGATAATTCGTGTTTAGGCATTAGGTTAGTGTGGTGGATACAGCACAGTTAAATAATCCAGGAGCGGGTTGCCTGTTGAGTGAAATAATTATTACCTAAAGGGTCTGTGCTTCAAGAGAAGTCAAGTCTTAACAGCCATGTCAGTTTTAAGCATGGGCATTTTTGGTAATAGCAGAAAAACTCCTGATGGGTTCCAGTTAATGAATCATTTGAGCATGTGTTTAACTCCTCTGCATATTTCAGACTGAGTTGCCCTGGGGTACTGAGTCTGGGCACTCTGGAGGTACCTCTCTGTAAAATTTCATCATTTTGCAACACTTATGCTGGGGTTTGTTTGCTGGATAAATACCATGTGCTTTTTGCTTTGCATCCTGTGTTGGGTAGTGTTCATTTTGTATAGATCCCTGATTCTAATTGGGAGCTTGTTGAGATCAATGTGTTCTGGGATGTTTCTGCTTGCCAGGGATAAGAGGGATGAATAGTAGAGAGAAATAATAGGAAGAGAGACGTAAAGGTGCATGAGGAGCCCTGAAATCTAAAGAAGGTAGGAAGAACATGGATCATCAGTCTGTTACATATTGAGACACAAGATCTCCATGGGAAGGTCTAATAAATACTTCAGTAATTTCAGCTGCCTGAGCCACTGTGTCTGCTTGCCCTTCGTAGCACTGTCTATGAAATAAAAACACAGCAACAGCTTCAAATGGAAAACAATGGAAAGAGAAAAGTATTAAAATTACAATTTGCTCACCAGGTTTTGTAGGCTAATAAGATTATTCCTGCAAAACCAGGCCAAACAAACATACAAAATCATAATAATTGAGAGACTGATTTTAACTAAATCTCAGTAGGGTCTTGCTGTGTGTGGGAATTTTTCCTTACTAGATTTCATTTTGTGAAGGTTTCTTAATGCAACTGGACTTTGCAAATCTTAGTCTCCACTGAAACTGTGCTGTCTTAAAAGTCAAGTCTTCTCTTTTGGCAAAATATAATAAATATAATGCATGACATTACATAACATAACAGTGGTATTTCTACATGAGAAGAGTTCCAGGTTAAAATTCAAGATAAGCTGTGCATAATAAAATATTTATAAATTATATATTTTATATGTATATAAATTTTATTAGATATTCTTTAATTATATATTATTTATATATAATGTATATAAATTTTATATTTATTTGTAAAATAAATGTAAAATATTTAGATCCTAAATTCTTTAGGAACATATAAAGATTGGGAGAAGACAAAATACCTTCTTTTTTATATGACATAATGGGGCACTGAAAGATTAGGGTCACAATGTCAAAAATTCTGAAGTCCTATTTAGACTGCAGGACAGAAGACTGGACTTTGAAAAATGCTTAACTGTATTGGCCCTGAGCTATTCCAAATATCTGGTCATAAGAATTGGAGCAGAACAGGTTGATGCTGTGCTCACTTGAAAACCTGTCACTAGTGGTGTCACTAG